TCTCGTAAATATATATATATATATATATATATATATATATATATATATATATATTAGTTGTGTCATGTGTGTGTATCTCCATGATTCATACATATGTGAAAATAGTGCCATCGTTTTTCAGTGCCTTCTGTATTCGAGTCTCTAGGTTCAAACATGACGATGAGAATGTGATTTGACATTAATGATTTTAACTACCTAATTAAATATTATATATGGGCTGCATATTATTTTTAAATTACGTTATTAAATATTATATATTGGGATACGGACCAAAAGCTGTCCGGTTTATTCAACATTGGCAAGGTAAATTCAGCAAATATAAATGCTTTTGTATGAACTTACACTAAATATTTTTTTAAGAAAACTTGTATTTCAAATTTTGTGAAGCTAATAAGAAATATATGAAAAGATGTTCCAAACAATTATTTTTGGAACGTCTTTTTACATAAAAAGGAATATAAAATTATTATTTTTTTCATCCTTGGAGAATTGGAATAAAATTCATCCATATATATTCCTTTTGTCAATATATGATCTGAAATTAATATATATAATTAAAAAAACAAGGGGTGTGGGGCCTATAGGATTGGCAAATTGTACCGTGGGGGGTTGCTTCAAGCGATGGACAAGACCTAAGATTGGGAAGAATGAGATGTGGCATTAAGGTGTTGTAGTTGTCTCATTAACCAACAACACTGTCTACAAGTGAGAGAGATGTGATGGCCTCTTGGCTCCACTTTATTTACTTATTTACTTATTTATTTATTTATTATTATTATCGTTATTGTCATTATATATTATTGAATTGTGAATGACATTTTTATACCTTTCATTTTTTATTCGGAATATGTTGAGAGTGAAATAGGACTCAACACCAAAGAATGTACTGTGACACCCACCAATGTTGTTGTCCGAACACAAACCGACTATATATATATGTATAGGATCCAAGTACCCAATCATATATATATATATATATATATGTATAATTCAAAATTTCAATATTTTATGTTTTGATTTAATTACAATGATTACGGAACTGTACCGGATCTAGTCGTATGAAACTTAAAAAAAACTAATGAAATCTTGAAAAAATTTCGGAATATTAATTAAAATCGGGTTCAAAGATGACCATTGAGAGAACTATGTTGATATAATATACTGATGATTTAAAATTTCTAAAATACCATGTCTGTATCATTTATATGTCATATCTAAATAAATATGAGATTGCGACAAGAACTTTGGCTCTTGTTTATATATATACATACACACATATATATAGGCCTATTAATTTAGATATATGTATATATATATATGAAATAGACGTATCATATAAAGCATATTCGTTGAGTTGAATATACAAGAGGTTCAATAAGTAAATGGAGAAATGAAATTTACCAAAAATGGACAATATATAAAACTAAGCAATATGAATTCGCTTAAAGTGTAACGAGTTAGTTAAAAATGAAGGAACAAATATCTATAAATAAGAATACCGACTATATCTATATATATATGTGCAAATATTGCATGATGAATTAAATACAATTTTGAAACATTTCAAGGATGAAACTATATGTGTGCATGCATAGATCTGTAAGTAGGAGTAGATAGTTTAGGTTTTGTAAAAAGATGGTTTTTCAATTTAGAAATGTTAAAATATTTCAGTTACTTTTAGAGTGAATTCGAGTACAATTATTCTTCAGTTGAATTGTCATCTTTGATTTTCTTTTTGTTTGATGCAGTAAACATGCATGCATATATATATATATATATATGTGTGTGTGTGTGTGTGTATAGAGAGAGAGAGATATGTGTGTGTATAGAGAGAGAGAGAGAGGGGGGAGGGGGTGTGGGAAGGAGTAATGGTGCGGTGTGGTTAGACGCAAGAAAAGGCCCATTTCTTTGAAAAGAGAGTGATAAATGCGAAGGGACAGAAGGGCACAGGACTTTTCTGGCAATCGCAGAAAAGACGGTCTGATGTGAGATGTGAGGAAATCATTTTGTAATCGATTGCTTTATGATTGATCTTTTTTTATTTATTTTTATTTTTTTATTTTTTTATTTCTCCTCCCACACACACACACACATAAAGACAATTACAATAAATTCACACACATATATATAATAATATATGTGTAAAATGAATTTCAAAAGCTGTAAAAGTAAATATTTTCATAAAGTGCTTTTTCCAAAGCCATTTCTCTCTCTATCTATCCGCTTTTGAAAGTCTGGATTTTTATTTATTTATCTCGTCTGACATATAATAAGAAACTACAATAAATAAATAAAAAAATAAAGTCAGAGAAACAAAGCTACTTACTACTATAAAGCTGCATATCATGAGGGTATTATGACCATATGATATTTGCATGCATGCATGCAATGCATCGTCCTTTTATACACGACAGTAACCATGTAGTAACTTTTGCTGACTCTCTTCGTTCAAACCTATATACATCTCATTCATTTCATAAATCTTTATTTGGATTTAGAAAGCACACACATATATATATATATATAATATAGGTTTCGAGATATATGTTTATATTTGACAGTGACACACTAATTAACCCTGCTTTATTAATTCCAATAATGCATATAATCCATCATCTAAAACAGAATTCTTTACGGCCATGACAAATTCCTTGTCCGAAAATGGAGCATGCCCTTATTCCGATATATATACATATATATATATATATATATGATGTATTTCCTTTTCTTATATGTGTCCACATGGTTAATTATCTATAGGTTCCATGTTATTATTCACGGGAAGAGAAATGATAAATTCCAAGGATTTTATGATATATCATCATTGAATTGTGTTATGAAACCCAAGACAGAATTTACTAACCAACATTGTTTTTTAATTTCAGCTATTTATAGATTTGTACAAATACGACTATAGTTTCAAATAAATATTCAACAACTGATCCGAGAATGAGTAAAAAAATATAATAAATTGGACAAAATGTAAAATTTTCTGACTTTCCTTTAATATTTAATTTGATTGTTTGGGGATTATGATTTTCCCTATGAAATATTTTGCAAAGTAAAAGAGATGTTTCTGTAATGGGCCAAACCCAATGCCAATAACCTATTGAGCTAAGCCCAACAAAGAATCAAAACATTATGATTATGGGAGTATTTATTTATTTTATGAAGTAAAAACCATTATTAAACGAATAATAATAATAATAATAGTGTTTGTTCAAAATATCAAATACAGTTTCTGACCATCGTGAATCATATCTACATCACTAATCTTACCTTCATCTTCCGACAACAAGAACAAGTCAGAGGAATCTGAATCTGAAATCTCCAGTTGCTCCGCCGCCGTTTTTATCAGTTCCTCCATGGTTTCCGGCACCCACAGCACCACCCCTCTCCTCTTTCTCTTTCTCTTCTCTTCCTCCCTTGGATCGTACGGATACACCGTGCATTTCTTCCTCTGCACCTTTTCTGCAACAAGTGACACTTGCTTGTATTACAAGGCATTTAAATCTGGTTATTACAAATCAGTTCCCACAAGCCAGGAGTGAGAATTACCTTTCACTTTCAGTTCTTTGGAGCTGGTCGAAAATGCAGAAATCTGACAAGCTTTAGCGTCCTCGAGTAGTTTTATCAAGTTCTTGTTCCCACAAGCCATGGCTTCATCCAGAGGAGTGTTCCCCCATCTTTTCATCAATCGTTCAACGGACGGTAAAATAAATAATCAGTTAAGGTAACGAAGAATACAATGTTTGGCATCGAAAATGTTGTTTTTCCGATAGTAGTATACCTGTCCTTTGCAAGAACAAAACCACCGGCCTGGACCAACTGCTTCGCCATAAGATACAATCCTTCGGAAGCAGCGACATGGAGTGGCGTCCTGTGATCGTAGTCTTTGGAATTCGGATCTATTCCGTTCTCCAGAAGTCTTCTGAGAAAATCGCTGTCGCCCTTTGCAACCACCGTGCAAAGGAACGTTCCCGCGTTCTCTATATCCAACGAGGCTCCCTCTTTCACTAGTAAACATGCCACTCGATCATTCCCGTTCTTTATTGCTTCTAATAACGGCGTGTTTCCCAGTTTATCTGCATTAAAACATTCCCGGTCCATCAGATTTTTTTGCAGAGCTGTCAACGTTGTAGAAATATCCATTCCGTGTTCGGTTACCTTTGAAGTTGACATCTACTCCTTCTTGAATGAGATAGAGCGTAACATCTTCATATCCTCTAGAGGCAGCGAGATGCTGTTTAGAAAAGAGTACATCAGTTAACACATTTCGGCGAGCCATTTCATAGTTCGGGATTCTTTTTCAGAGTGTTAATTGACTAACAGAAGAATCAGTTATCGACAAAAGAGATCGAGAAGCTTGAGCTTACCAAAGGTGATCTTCCATCATAATCGGTCTTATTCGGGTCAGCCCCGGCTCGGATCAGACTTTTAAGCTGGTAGAGATCTCCATAGTAGGCCGCACTATTCACCTTCAACGCCAGTTCTGCCTCTTGCTTGCCGATGTGATATGTAATATCGGACTCCAGTTGCTTAATCCGGACGTTTGATTCTTTTCCCTGTAATATTTTCAGACAGGGCATGTGAGAAAAAGCTTCACTTGGATTCTTCATAAAGACAAAAAAAAAAAAAAAAAAAAAAACCTTGATAGCCAAATTGACAGAAATCTGTAAATGCAAGAACTTCTGGTTCATATTTATACCGGAATCAGGGAGGTGAGGTTTACCTCGAGGAGATTGTTGAGGATTTTTCGTCCATCGTGAAAATATATCTCGAGAATATTCATAAAAGATTGCTTATCAAGTCTTAGAAGCCGGCATAGTTCAGAAACCCGAACTGTGTAAGGTTGAGGAATGTTACACAGGATCGAGATTTCCCCGAAGGAACTATCTGGCTGTAAAAGTGCAACTATCTCTTCGTTTACAAAATTTTGTTTCACTAGATGAGTGTTTCAGACAAGACAAATCATTTGTTAAGGAGACTAGTAACATGACCAAAGGAACTTACCAGTACACCATGACAAACGAAATATAATTGATCCACAACGCTCCCTTGCTCCAATATAACCTCTCCCGGGAGGAAAAACTCTTCATGTAGTCTTATGACCTGTAACAAGAGAGTGTCTCTGCGTTATATGTGAAAAGAATTACATATACTCGGTTACCTGAAAATTTAATATACATCTTCAGAGAAAAAGCTTACGATTTGATTTATGAATTCCGATGAACACCCGTCGAAGAGGGGGATCTTTTCGATATATGGCATGTATAAAGTTTGAGCGATCTGATGTAAAGATGTTAAAATAAATCATCAGGCTTCATTTTTCTTCTCCATCCATAAATCCAATTCAAAAAATTGTGATGAAGAATGAAAATCTGCACCTTAGCACGAATAGATATCGGTATATCCTGAAGAGCAGCTTCCTCAGTGTAGCTACTCTCGTACTGCAAGCGGAAATGGCCAGTGATTTGATTCCGGATTCCTCTCCCAAGTTTATTTCTGTTCATGTACTTCATGATATCGGCCATCTTATCCCGGAACCTTTCTGTTTTCGACCCTTTAACGATTAAAGCTGTCATGTTACCTATCAAATAAGCACCTAGAATCATGTCGAATGAAATGTAGACCATCACGAATATCATTTCCCGCACATTCACAGCATGTATATCTCCATAACCTGCAGCAGTAACAATATCGACATTAAAAAACATAGATACTCAAGCATCTGGCAGCCGCTTTACACCGATATCACATCAATCAACGGACAAATCACCAAGCTCCGATATCAGTGAACTTACCGACAGTTGCCATAGTGGCGATTGCAAAATACATGGAAGTTGTATATCGTGTCCAGATATCGATATCTCTGAAACTAGAATAACCATAATCCCCCATCTTCAAGCTTCCAATCCACGTGTACCCTTCTTGAGAAGCAGGCAGAGTCGTGGCCAAGAAATAGAAGATGCAGGCGGCGGTGTGAGTGCAATAGAGCTCGACGAATATAAGTTTGACAATCCTAGTGAACAGATAATTGATCCGTATATCCTTTTCCATTTGCTGGAAGAAGTCGACGAGTTTGTTCACCCGATATAATCTGATCCACAACAGGTATCTCACTTCTTCTCTTTCACCTACAGCCTTTGCAAAGTGGAAACAAATGACACGGCTTTGTAAAAGAGATGCAACCGCGCGATTATGAAGGAGGTACCAAAATGAGACGGAAAGAAACTTACTTTGTAGATGTTATCCCATGGCATGCAAGCGAGTAAATCAATGACAAAACTCGATTTCAGGTACCTGAAAGGTAACAGCCATTAGACCTTTACTCAAGATTCCACTAATATTCCATTACGAAGCTCTCGAGCTGCAATGAATTTCTTGTGACAAAGGGCTTTTAACAAATAAGACAAATTTCAGAGGAAGGGAAAAGGCAGAGACGAACCTTATAGCAATAGAACTGCGCCTATACACCATTCTATACGTGCGACTGTCTCTATAGGCCACGAAGAATGTCAAGACAATGTCTACTAGAAAGGCCACTTGCCCAACAATGTCCAGAACAAAGAGGTTCTCTGGTAACCCTCTGAAGAAGCCAAACTCAAACGGAGTGAAGAAAGAAGAGTAAAGTGCCCATACCAGTATGAACATCGTCCATGCCTTGTACCACCTGCAAGAACAACGACATGAGATTCCGACAGGATCTTGTCCAGAGCCAAAAGATTTTCTCAAGATTTTAGAACTCAAAATGACTGTACTTCTCTCGACTAGGAAATCAAGACAAAGCGGTTCTAACCGTCCGATCAAGAAAGCCGACGTGTATGAGTTGCAACCGTTAGATTTCCATGCAACATTAATTAAAAATGACACAACGGATGACCTGTACGTTGCAACCTCTGCCACGTGTCACGAAATGGCGGGAAATCCACGTCGTCCCTCTCAAAATGACAGAAACTCGGTTGAAAGGAAATGGACGGACGACCGAGAAAGAGGCGAAATCGGAAGACTAAACCACAGTCAAACCCCTGAGCTTATACTTTAATTACATTTTGACCCCATATCTTTATAATCTAACATATTCACGTAAAAGACCCAAACTGCAAGTGCAAGTTACGTTGATATATTTTAGGGGATATATTTAGGAACGATAAGACTAAACGGGGCGGAAATGCAAATATTTGAAATTCTAGAAAGGAGAGAAATGGAACTGCAGATTTGAAATTCGAATTACCGGTTATCGGGATGGACGATGGAGCCTCGGGAGATGTCTCTGATGCCATCGAAGACGGTTTTCCGGCCGTTTCCGGCGAAATCTAACCCCAAGAAATTGGAGAGGAGGTTGAATCTGCTGCCACGCGACGCAACAATCCCATCCCTCAGATCCTCCACCTCGTATTCCTCCGAGTCCTCGCTCCGGCGATAATCGTCGTTTCCCATATACTCCGATTCCGACGACTCCGAGCAAAACGGTTTTCCGGTAACCGAAGATCGAAGAAGACACCACTTTGGGGTACCAATTATCAAAAAAAAAAGATCGAAGAAGGCAATCTCTCTCTCTCCCTCGGTCTCTGTGCGTCTGTGAGTTTGAAATTATTTGAGAGCAAACAGAAACTGAGTTTCCCGATGAGCCTCCTCGATTGAGTTGAAAGGGGGGGGGGATTTATAGGTCTTGTGCGATGGAGACAAAATGCATTTTCGGTATTTATATATATTTATATACGCACACCATCTTATAATAATAACATATCAAAATTTCTGTAGTGATGATAATGAAGAGATTAGTGGTTTTGATTAGGTCGGGATTATTGATTAATGCAAAAGAAAAAAAGGATAATGGGGGAATTGATTTAATCGAACGTGGGTTAACCGAATTTAACTTTGGCTGTTTTATTCAACTTTTTTTTTCCTTTTTTAGTCACTATATTAGTCAGCATGTCAATGGGGAAAAAACCCGTTGGCACAATTAAAGAGTTTAATTAATAAGCTTACGTCAGTGGCCCAATTGCAATTTCTTGTAATTTACGTGGTCCGAATTCGTCTCCTTTTGGCATGCGCCATTCGCACACGTGCATTTGTTTAATGGTTCTTTTTAATACTTTCTATTATATATTTTTTTTATTGCGTTTTATAATTATTAAGAGTTCAAGAAATTTCTCCCTCCATTACCCTTGACCGTCAAGTTTTGCGGGCGGGCGGGCGTAAATGTGTTTGGGCCACGTTTTGGGTTTGCAGAGTTTACGATGGGCCTTTTTAATGGGCCTATCTGGGCTTCCAACCCTTTCATATATATATATATATATATATATATATATATATATATATATATGCAATTGGATTTAAAAAAATGAAAAATAATTTGTTTTTTAATTTGGTTGAACATGTGTATATGCATTGCTTCTTGTCCAAGTAAATTACCACATAGGAAGAGTAGTTTCTGACCAGTCGATATATTAATAATGCTCATAAATCATAATCAATCAAAGTAACCGAGCCATTAACAGACTAATATTTATTTATTTATTTGGATAATCAGGTATCTTATATCGATGCCATACTAATTTCGGGAATAGAAACAAGTCATGTAATTAAAATTATATTTTCCTTCCCAATTTGAGATTCGAACTCGGGATAAAATAAATATTTTGTGTTACCGTTTTACCGGTTAAATCATCAAAGGATGAATAATATTTATTTTATTGGTATACCTAATTAAATATGTGAATACACTAAATGTTGGTGTGTGTATATATATATATATATATATATTTATTGAATAGGACCCCTCAGAGTTATCAAACGGCTCTGGACAAACTTCGTGAATATAATACAAAAGGGATTCATGGAAGAAAGAAAAATATCGAGAATCTTTCTTTCAAACTAAAAAAAAAAGAAAAAAAAAAAGAGGGACACAAAGACGAGACAAGGAACAATGAAACTGATATCAGTTCTGGAATTTGTAATGTTTGCCCATCATCATCATCATCATCATCATCATCTTCATGGTTTCCAGAGAATGGTAGTCTCTGCAATCATGGAGGTGACAATGTAAGGATCCATGTTGGAAGCCGGCCTCCGGTCCTCGAAATACCCTTTCCCTTCCTTCTCCGTGTCCCGACCCACCCTTATCGACGCTCCTCTATTCGCTACGCCCTGCCAAAACCCGTCGGAAATACTCGTCAAATTCTAAGTCAGGTTCATTGATCTGTAACGCAAATACTTAAAAGGGTTTCAGATTTCGGAATTTCTTTTTTGGTACCCATAAGAAGGTGTTGATATCAGCAGTCTCGTGCTTTCCGGTGAGACGTCGTTCATTGCCCTCTCCGTAAGCCGAGATGTGTTCCTTGTGACGCAACCCGAGCTTCTCTATCGCTTTCTTTATAATCTCCATCCCTCCTTCGTTTCTCATTGATTTCGTACTGCAAAAAAACCCCTCTCAAAACCAGCTATAACCACACAGCTAAACCATAAAATAGAGTTTCGGGTTCCAAAAACAGTGATTCAATCCAGTTTTAGGACAACATTGTTGTGAAGTACCTGTAGTTGGTGTGTGCCCCGGCACCGTTCCAATCACCCTGAAGACAGAAAAGGAAACAACAATGTTAAATGAACCGACCAGAAGATGGATTGGTCATAGGATTCCTTATTTCCTCATCGAATCTAAGAAGAAACAAGGAAGTGAAATTCGGAAGTCCGACCTTAATCGGCTTGGGGTCGAAAGACAGAATAACTCCAGCAATCTCTGTGATCCTCTGTTCAGATCAAACAGAAACACTTCAACCAAATGTTGACGATATGGCGAAGATGTGTACAGAAACACGTAATGCTTCAAACTCGATAAAAGGACGAAGCTTTTATCGAATTTGAATCCGAAACTCGACAGAATTGATACATGAAAGCCACATCGGAGTTTATATATACCTCGAGGATGTAACGGGAAACCCAGAGCTGATCTCCGGCTGAGATGCCAACAACAGGGCCGACTTGGTACTCCCACTGCAATGATTTCAAATCGCAAGTTATCGATTTTGGGTCATCGTTCTCTGTTAATCCATGTTTCGATCGACTGAGTTACCTGTCCGGGCATGACTTCGCCATTGATGCCACTGACGCTGATGCCGGCGTAAAGACAGGCCTTGTAGTGAGAATCTACAATGTCTCTTCCAAAGGCTTTGTCCGCACCGACTCCACAGTAGTATGGGCCCTGCGACGCAGAATGACGAACAATAATCAGAAAGTTTCTCACAGAGTCACAGACTCTAGAAATTAGGGGGGAAATCCAAACTTTACTACCGAATTCTCACGGAAAGAAGCAATGGAATCTAGGGTTTCTGATTCTGTGTTTAACTAATTGGCATATTCAACAGAAATATCCCTGCATCTATGCAAAATTTCGTTTTCTCCACAAAATCAAATTCTGGGTCTCTTAAAATTTACAGGGAAAATCCAAACTTTCTCAGGAAAAGAGGCAACGGAATCTAGGGTTTCTGATTCTGGGTCATCAAAAACAGACACATCCCAACAGCTCTGGAAATTTTCATTTTTTCCACAAAATCAAATTCTGGGTTTTTTAAATTACGGGGGAAAATCCAAACTTTACTACCGAATTCTCAGGAAAAGAAGCAACGGAATCTAGGGTTTCTGATTCTGGGTTTAACTAACTATCTCTATATCTCCGGAAATTTTCATTTTTCCCCCACAAAATCAAATTCTGGGATTCGGATTTTGGATTGAATCAGCGGTTCCTTAACGAAATGATACGCAAAAGATTCGCCGGAAATTTTACCTGAGGACCAGGGAAGCCACCGACGGGCCAACCAACCGGCCACTTAATGTCCTTCTGCAACAACGTGTACTCTTGTTCGATTCCATACCTGATATTTCCCCCCAAATCAAAGGAAAAAAACCCTAATTTGAGATTCAGAAAACACAATCATGGATCAAAGTAAGAGATCAATAATAATATATACATATAAACGAAGAACAGAGAATAATTTTACAAACCAAGGCTCTTCCGCGACGACATCAGAGTGGCTGAAGATTTTCGCCGCCGCGTGTCTGTTGTTTGTCGGGATCGGCTCTCCGGCCGGCGTGTACGCATCACACATCACCTACCATCGACATTTCCAGTCAATAAACGATAACAAAATACGATAACTTTTTAAAAAAAACATTTTTATTGTAAAGATCCATGCTTTCTACGAATCTAGTAAATGAACGATTTAAAAAATGATAAATTTTTTAAAAAAAAAAGACTCTTTATTGTAAAGATCAATGCTTTCTAACATAAATAGAAGCAGATACTACAAAAGCATCATTTACAGGGGAATTTTTTTATATTTTTCGGATTAAAAAGTTGAAAAAAATATATATCGGAAGCAAAGAAGCGTTTGATCTTACAAGGATGTTGTTGCCTCTCCTGAAGGGGTCTCTGAAAATAGCTTGAGGACTACGAAAAACAAAGAACAAAACCCATGATGATTAGCTAAATAAATCTAACAAATAAACCCAAAATTAAAAAAAAAAAAAAGAATAAAATCTAGACAACGTACTAGAGGATGACTTCACTGTCGTTGCCGGGAGCTTGGCCGGTACTCGAACCGTCGTAGTTCCATTTCGGCAGCTCCGACGGGTCCGTCACCGGTCCCGGCAAAGTCTGCACGTCCATGGTTAAACACGTCATCCCTAATCATATTTCACGTTATCTAACGCTAATAGGAACTGAAAGGACAGAGAAAATCGTATTTACCCTTGCTTTACTCCTCATGTCCAGTCCTGATCCACCGATCCTGTTCAATAAAAATCATGGGTATTGTTCCAAAATCTTTGTATATATTTTCAAAATGATTTCTCAATGAAAAGGTCTCATCTTCTTTTTTTACACTGTTCAAGTTCTTGAATCCATGAAAAAAAAATGGGATCCTCAAACGCAAACGCAAACGCAAACGCAAACGCATATTTCGAAATCGGAAGATAATAAAGCACATGAATCGTATGCAAAAGAGGGGGGTTCTGACCATATGTACTCGGCGATCACCTTCTCCGTGGAGTCGGAGAGGTTGAGATTGATCAAATCAGAAAGGAGAGACATTTTCGTGATAAATCTGAAACTTCAGAGGAAAAAAACTTGAGATTCTGAATCTGAAGTCTGAGTTGAATGACTCGGTTTCTCTTCGGAAGGGTGTTTATATAGAGAGAGAGAGAGGGAGAGGGAGGATTTTGGGCTAAAAATGGAGGAATCGGGAATATCGGGGTATATTATAAGTGCGAAGTATGAGGAGATTCTGATGGATTCTCGCGTTTTAAGATTCTATCTTTGCTTCGGTTCTAACGGGATCTGTTCCTTTTTTTTTTTCACTTTCTTCTTTGCATTTTCGTCATTAGATTTCGGTTGATCTTCTAATGTTTTCAAAAACTCATTCAAATTTTATATTTATTTTTGGTTCAATGATTTAGTGTTGGATTTTTATCAAGTATAAAAAAAACTATTTCCATTCAATTTTTCATTTTTAAAATTCGGTTATATTAATTTTAAATTAAATTTGTTTTACTGCATATATATACATTTTGATAAATAAAAAAAATCGGATGACCTAGTTGGCGAGGTAGACTTAAATTCGTCACCTAACCCTTCTCGGGGGCGATTTCTTACCAAACGACTCCGAATACGAGAGGAGACACATTCCATATGAAACCAAACCTATCATAAAAACTCCATGTAGATTGTTTCAAAGTTATATGGAAACTTTGGTCTATATCAAGCCTATATATACATATATATATATGTATATCAAGTAATAAGAGGTCAAAAGGAATCTATTGGATATATATGGACCGTATAAGGTAAACTTAAAATCCGATTAGAATTTATATTCTAAATCATATACATATAACAATATATGAAGCTTAGGAAAATCCCAAGGGGATGATTTCGTTTCCACAAAAAAGTCATTAGTGATAATGCAGTTTTTATACACAAAAGCAAAGTTAAACATGTGTGAAACCCTACCTCTCAAAAGCCCCAACAAGTCAAATTAACTTTATATATATATATATATATATATATAGATACGTAGGTAAGGTTCATTGTACGGCCCGTGTTTTTGGAAATGAATGATATTCCCCAAAGTTAGGGGTTACAACATGAGGTGGAGTGGGTGAGACGTCAGCATCATCTACCTATATCTTTGCTCCTCTTTTATAGATTCTCGTCTAAGGAATCTTATAATAAAAAAGATTAAATGTCTCTAATTCCATCCAACATTTTTTTTTATCTTATGGTTATATTTATACCATACTTTTTTTTAACAAATACAAACATCAATTTCCCAATAGAATGAATATTATTGGGACAGCTAATTGTTATCATTAATAATTTGATTTCATATTACATGTCTTGAGTGTTTTTATCCCAACCATAAATGTTATCTCATATTATATGTATTTTTGAACCGATAAATATATAATTTCATTCCAAACCAACCGCGGACTATAGACATGAGATGTTCTCGGTGGAATATGAGAAAATATTTTACCCGGTCATTTCTACATATAATTCCATGGAAAATTTGATTTTTTTTTTTGAAAATTTATAACATTTTTTTAATTTAATATAAGTATTAAATGAAATATAATTGGACGAACATATCGGATTACACACCGACGAATTTGTCCCCGGATACTTAATGGTGACCATTGGAAGCGCACATTACACCCTTTCAAACAGATCATGTGACTATGATGTTTTTATTTTTTATTTTTTTTTTGCAGAGGAAACTAAAATTTATTTGTGACGATTAAAGGGTGGATATTTCAAATTTTAATTATGTTTCGGTTTGGTTTTGCAAATAATTTCAATCTTATATTTTAAAAAAAATATATTTATTCTATTTTTATATATCAAATTTTACTTAAAAAATTTATAAAAATAGTTATCTTAAAATACATTTCAGTTTTTATTTTCTATTATATTATATTTAAATAAGATTGTAATATATCAAATTTTAAATAATTAATTTAAAATATAATTATCTATTTAGCTTTTATATATCTTAAGTGGTGAAATATTATTATAATAAATTTGGCCACGATGACTAATTGTCATAGTATTCAAAATAAGAAAAGAGAAATGTGAAATATAATTAAAATAAATTTGGTCATGATGTCTAAATTGCAAGTGGTGTAGTCAAATATCATCAATTTTAAATTCCGAGCACAATCAAATAAAATTATATTTATAATATTTTTTCAGGATCCGACAAAATCCAAGGGCCTCGGAGGCTCGGAGTGATGATTGCATTATAGTGTAATATTTGTCGAATTTTATTATTAGAAAACAATAAAAAGGTAGATGCATCATCATTATGATGTAATTTAAGATTAATTTAAACAGGTATTAATATCTAAAAAGCAAATCAATAATACATATATATATATATATTTTATTGGTTGAATTTCCGTCTTCTTATAAATTTATTGGTTCATCCTTAACAAATATTAGTTATGGAAATTAAAATTTTAAAAATATTGTATTATTTTTATCTGTCTTCTCCGTTATCACGTTATGCGATAAACAAAGTCATGATAATGTGATTTTTTTTTTCTCGTATTATTCGATTTTTGTCGTCTTAACTTTTGAAAGTGGTACGAACTTTTTTTCTTTTTCTTTTATGAAAATTGCAAGTGGTGCATACAAGTTGGGCGAACGTTCTACATATAATAATGTCAAATGCATAATAGGTCGATGACTGCAAGCTAAATCTAATATATATATATGTATATATGTATATATATGTTAGGTGAGTATAATTAATATAAATTTATTTATTTCAAATAATTCCGTAAAAATAATATTAATTTTATGCATGATTTTACATACAAGTTGGTCGAAGGTGTTATAAATAAAATCTCCTTTATTTTTTTTATCTTACATGCGTAATATATATATATATATATGTTTATTTTTCTATGTAGGTGGGTGAAAGACCAATGAAGATTATCAAATATATATATATATATATATATATATATATATATATATATATATATATAAGATTTTTGTGGGGGAGGTGAAGAGAATTGCAGAGACTGCACCAAGTGGAGCTACTGATATTGAAACTCCCTTCGTTGCCAACGCTTTATCCACTCTTCCCAATACCGCCATTGCCGCGAATGCTCCTGTTCCCATCATTTCACCAAAAACCCTCATCAGATTACTCTCTATCTACATATACATACATATATATATATATATATGATAGTTTTGTGATACGGAAGTATCCCAAGCTTGGACATTTATATGATCAAACCCGATAAGCATTGAAGTTATCGGTCTTTCCTCGGTCAAATGTCCCCCCGTGACTTTGTGCTATTTTGTTTCCTTTTTCTTTATTATAATTTAATTTGTTCATATGCTCTTGTCTTCATTGGTTATTCCTTCTTCTCTCATTGCATAAGATTGTCCAACTTGTTTTATAATAATAATAATAATAATAATTTCATTTGGCTTCTATCTAACTATGGCTTCGTTGAAATGATGCCTTGTTCCTAACTTCCAACTTGTGCGTTTTGACAAATCATTTTATAGTATTGTAAGCGAATAGTCCGCATTCAACATTATATGATTTCTTTATTGTTAAGATTTTATTAATAAAACCACAATATCACACATCAACCAATGTATCCATATTCAATCTTCTAATGTATTCTTATAAACGACGCTGAAATAACGTAAACGCGGTCAAACAGAAGACATAGATCAATAGGGTATTGGACTAAACATAATTTATTTTCTCAATCCAAAATTTCATCTACATTCATTATTATCATTATTATTAAAAACGGCCCATTATTTTGATTTGAAGTTTGGATCAACTATGCAATCGCTATGATGTTTCGTACAGTAATCGAATAGTCCAACGAACCACAATATTTTTTCGTGCGAAAATAAACTAATGCATCATCCAGTCCATCTAATATAAAGTAAATTATTAAAAATATTTATTATATTATGTGTATTTGCTAAAACAATATTATCTAATGTGATGGTACGGCATTATTTGAGGGCAAAATGACAAGAAATATTTTATTCGAGCAAAACGTTTGATTTCAAGTTAATCTTAAAATCGTTCATATTGCAGGAAGGGCGGTCCAATTCGTGTTATAATTAATAATAACAATAATTTCATTGGCTCTAGGGTTTTGAAATGATGCCATATATCTGTTACGAGGATTATGTATACATAACATGAAAAAATTGATTATCTTAAGCAACGACAATTCTAAGTGTTTTTATAATGAAAAAAAAAATCAAAATTGGGCTTGAAGTGTTATTTTTAGTGGAAAATATTAATCGGGCCTTTTATTGGACTTAAAGGGTGTATTTAAATGGAAAATATTAATTGGGCCTTTTATTGGGCTTTAAAGGGTGTATTTAAATGGAAATATTAATTGGGCCTTTTGTTGGGCTTGAAGGAGTGTATTTTTAATAGAAAATATTAATTGGGCCTTTTTATTGGGCTTGAAGGAGTATTATTTTAATGGAAAATATTAATTGGGCCTTTTTATTGGGCTTGAAAGAGTATTATTTTAATGGAAAATATTAATTGGGCCTTTTTATTGGGCTTGAAAATAAGAGGCTTTTCTTTAATTAAAATGGGACTGGGCCATAGTGAATTCAGTTGGGTAAGAACCCACTATGCCTATTTTTGCATATTGGGGGATCCGAATATAAAATTAATATTATCACCGACTTTCATCATAATCAATATTTATATAGTATATATATATTACAATCATAATTATTTTAAATTTCGAAATTGAAAATTGACAGGAGCTGACCAAATTGAATAACCACCAAACTAATCTTTGCAACATGGAGCATATAGCATGACATGCATAGATTTTCGGACAAAAGACAACGAGCATTATTGACATATACGGTTGTCTCATTTTCAATATTTTTAATTTCTATGAACTTAAATCTGATTTAATGATTTATTAATGATTTAATCTGATTTTTTCTTTCTTGTTATCAAAACAATATCAGCAATTTTAGATGAAATTAAATATGATTTTCCTTTTATTTTTTCCTAAATAAAGAGACGGTACATTTTTTTTTTCCCTGGAGACATATAATTTAAATATCAAATATAAAATTGGAAAGACTCTCTGTATTTTTTTGTAACTGGCAGAAACCATTATACAAAAAGGAAAAATTCATGAAGTAACTTTGCCCTTTATGCAGTCTCTCTCTCTCTCTCTCTCCCCTCCTTTTTTTCGGCCATTTTCTCTCTCTTTCTCTCTGCACCCAGACACTGTTCTACGCGTAGTAGAAAAGTGCGAAGAATTCCGAGAAATTCTCTGGAAACCCATTTCACCAATTGTTCTGAAGGGTAGTCGAGACAAGACCACAGTTACAGTCCGACAGAGAAGATGAAACTTAGGCCTAAGCTTCGGGCTCCCGGAGCTCTTGCCTCTCTCTTCTTTTTCTGTCTCACGGCGGTGACTTCAGATCTGGAATCCGACCGTCTTGCTCTAATCGCCCTCCGCAACGGCGTCCATGGCCGACCTCTCCTCTGGAACCTTTCAGCACCTCCATGTACTTGGGGCGGGGTTCACTGCGATGCGAATCGGGTCACGGAACTCCGCCTGCCCGGTGTGGGTATGGCCGGTCCGTTACCGATCGCCATTGGCAACCTCACAGAGCTTCGGACCCTCTCCCTTCGTTTGAACAGGCTCACGGGTCCAATCCCGCCGGATTTCGCTAACCTCACCCTTCTCCGGTATTTGTACCTGCAAGGGAATACATTTTCCGGCGAGATTCCGGCGTTCCTCTTCACGCTTCCGAACCTGATCCGGATCAACTTGGCGCAGAACAATTTCTCTGGTCGGATCCCCGACAACGTCAACTCGGCGGCCCGGTTGGCGACTCTTTATTTGGAGCAGAACCAGTTGACGGGTCCGATCCCGGATATTACGATTCCGCTTCAGCAATTCAACGTTTCGTACAATCAACTAAACGGGTCGATACCAGATCGGTTATCGGTTTTGCCCAGAAATGCTTTCGAAGGAAATTCACTCTGCGGGAAGCCCTTAGACCTTTGTGGCGGCAGCAGCAGCGGCGGCGGCAACACCACTTTGCCGCCCGCGGGAAAGAGCGACAAATTATCCGGCGGAGCAATCGCCGGAATAGTGATCGCCTGCGTTTTCGGCCTGTTGTTGATTCTGGTGATTCTGTTCTTGCTATGCAGAAAGAGAAAGAAAGAGGAGAACATCGAGCCTAGAAGGGTGGAAGCTCCTGTCGCCACTTCGACGGCGGCTGTGGCGAAACAGACGGTGGCTGATGCCCCACCGCCGGAAAAGGCCGCGGCGTCGGAGCCGGCGAGCTCCGCGGTGAGTAAGGATTTGGTGTTCTTCGTGAAGTCATACGGGGAATTCGATCTGGATGGATTGTTGAAGGCTTCGGCCGAGGTTTTGGGGAAAGGTACATTAGGGTCATCGTATAAAGCGAGCTTTGATCATGGAATGGTTGTGGCTGTGAAACGATTGAGGGACGTGGTGGTACCAGAGAAGGAATTCAGGGAGAGATTGCAGATGTTAGGGTCGTTTAGCCATGTGAATCTGGTCACATTGCTTGCTTACTATTTCAGCCGCGATGAAAAGCTTCTCGTCTATGAGTACATGCCTAGAGGAAGCTTGTCTGCTCTCTTACATGGTAAGAAGACAGGACAAGTTCTCATTTTTCATCGAACCCGTCACTGCATTTTCGATTTCGGTTATTGGGTTTGCGCTGATACCATCACTGTTTCATTCAATCTTAGTTTCGGATCAGAGAAGCTAATTTTGCATCATTGGTGCTTATCACTTCTCGTGATCTTGTTTCTGATTCTGTGATGATGATCATATCTATATCTAATCCCTATCAGCTTGTGTTCGAGTTCTGTAATGGCTGTATCTGTTCCATATTCATCAGTCACGATAATCTTTGCATAATTTTGCTAAACCGTTTTCGTGTACAGGGAACAAAGGTAGTGGAAGGACCCCTCTGAACTGGGAAACCAGAGCCGGCATAGCCTTAGGAGCAGCCAGAGCGATCAGCTACATCCACTCGCGTGATACAATGACGTCTCACGGGAACATCAAGTCATCTAACGTACTCTTGTCTGAATCCTACGAGGCTAAGGTCTCGGACTACTGTCTCGCCCCTCTCATCAGCCCCGCCTCTGCACCTAACCGTATCGATGGATACCGCGCCCCTGAAGTCACCGATGCTCGCAGAATCTCCCAGAAGGCCGATGTCTACAGCTTTGGTGTCCTCATTCTTGAACTGCTTACAGGTAAAAGACAAGAACTTGCAAATCTTTAACTGCTGTTTAGGTTAGAAACGATCAACATTGCCTTGTAATGAATCGGGTTTTGGTGTAACTCGGCAGGCAAGTCGCCGACGCATCAGCAATTAAACGAAGAAGGCGTAGATTTGCCGAGATGGGTTCAGTCGGTGGCCGAGCAACAATCACAGTCCGATGTGTTTGATCCGGAGCTCACAAGGTACCAATCGGATGGCAACGAGAACATGATCCGGTTATTGAAGATCGGTATCGGCTGCACGGCTCAGTACCCTGACAAACGTCCGTCCATGGCGGAGGTCACTAGACTCATCGAGGAGATTTCACGTTCCAACGGTTCAGCGAGTCCATTATCCGATTGATTCCAGGGTCTAAATTGATCGTTTTCAAACTGTTTGGTCCAAATGTCAATTTCTCAATAGTTTGTTGATTCTTTGGGGGCTCATTTCTCCAAGAGGGTTTGTTTTTTTTTATATATCTATATTTTGCTTGAGAATTTCATAAAATGTTTATAAACTTTTCTTGTATCGATTTTTATAAATACAAGTATCATTGTTTGAGTGTGAATAAACTGTAAAGTGTGTGGCTTTTTCCTTGTTCCTTCCACCTAACCAATTTATAAAAACATTAATATTTTAATCGAATTGGTCAGTCGGTTACAAAAAAAATGACAATTATTTAATATCGGAGTAAATTAAATTAAAACCTCGAAATATATTAAATATTTTCTTAAGATTCCCACGTTTCATAAGAAGTCAACGGCAAAAATCGGGTATGAACACGGCTACACAATAAAACGACAAAAAAGTCTTCTGTCTTCGTGTTTTCAAAGTTTTCTATTATGGACTTATTTTTTTTATAAATAAAATATTAAATAAAATAAATATGTAATTCGACTTTTTGTTTTTTTTGTCAAAACTGTAAATATGTAATTGTAAAATTTGGTTGTTGGATTATACAATTTTTTAGCTCAATCAACAAGATCAATATAGGGTATAATTTCTAGTAATAGTACCTTTGGCTGTTGCCGCGTTATACATCGTATAACCAAAAAAAAAACTTTATGATTTATAAAATTTTCAAAAAATTAAATTGAAGATAATTTTTTTAGGTGAGTGGTCTATTCAAAACCAAAGAGTTCCCTAGTTGAAAGTGGCAAACATGCCCCCACCGTTCCAAAACTGCATTCAATTAATCGCCATTGCATCAGAAATATATATTTATATTAAGGGTATTTATTTTAGTATCAAAATATCGAAATTAATTAATTATAAAAAAACCCATTTGATTAAACAAATTTGGTTCACTGTATTTTTATTTTTATTTTTTTTTTGCCTTTTGCGTGTAAATATAAGTTTAGTTAACACTTGGTTGTTGATTTAGTTTGAAAGTTTAAGCGAAATTGATGGGATTTGTTTTCGTTAACCAAATGTCCATTTCGCTTAATTGGTCATGATGCCCGCAGCGACCATTCGGAATGTTCGGTGAAACCAATTATTTATTCGTTTGACATTATCATTATATATATATATATTTTTTTTTTATAAATGTGTAATTCATATGTTTCATTGACGTTTTTGTGTTGCATTATAATCTACATGTTATGTAAATTTTTTGATCCTTCATTTGCTATTTGTAATTTGTATTTTTCATATAAGGATAAAAAGCTATTATGGTTGTTATGTAATCCTTTATCATACGAAATAATAAATAATTTTTATCATAGACGCTATATTTTTATCATATGCTAATAACTCATATCCATGTGGATTCACATGCACATATGTGTGCGTGCATATATGTAGGCATTTATAGTCGAAAAGGTTGTAGCTTTATTATTATTATTATTTTATTTTATGAGATGCTGACTCTGTCAAATCCTGAAACATATATTTTTTCAGATTTATTTAATAATTTGCAGTTCTTTTTCCTTTGATTTCATTAAATTTAATCCGAGTAAATCGTGGAATTTATTGTTGTGTTGAATATTATGGAAATTTCATTGAACTTAAAAAAAGAAATAGATTTTACAAGCAAACAAACAATAAAACAAATCTCTTTGCAAAATGTTATGCATAAACCGAAGTCGGCAAACATAAATTATACGTGTTGCAATGTTTTTTTTATTTATAAGATTTGTGTTACGATGTTATAAAATCCATTTATCATGGTTGGTTAATAAAGAGATATTCTATAAAATGCGTACTCTCTATGAAATACATAAAAAACACATGTAATAAGGATATATCGTAAAATATTTAATATAATAATAAATATAAAAGATAAATATTATGTGTATATATATATATTGCTTATTAAAGTAATTGGAAATTAATTATTATAATCAAAATGATTTTGTCAAATTAAGAGAGATAAGATATGGTGGCGACCACGGTGTACTGACATGCGAGCCATCAAATCTTTGCTATGAATATTATGTTCGAATACATGTGAATTAAGTAAATAAATGCATACCGGCTCGATTTCTGTTTATTAATTATCATTTAATATAACTAATTTTTTTTGAAACGTATTAGAATTAAATTAATACATGCGATCAAAAAAGGGTATTGAATGGCGTGGTGCAAAAAAAAATATTAATCCATTTAAATAAAAATACACGTATTATATTGAGCAGAACAAACATGGAAACGCGTATTATTATTGAATAAAATCAAGTGGACTATATATTTGTTTTTGTTAATTCCTGTCAACTCCATAAATGTATCAAAGGTTTACGTTTATAAAATTATACTAAACAGTAAATATAAGTATTCCTAATTAATATAAAAAAATATAAAAAATAAAAAGCGACAGACAAGACATAGAACATGGCCACCAGTCCCTCCGGACAGACAGGATCGAACGCGGTTTTGGCCCAATAATGACAACTGTATATCTTCCATTTTTATATCCCAAATGGGGCCCACAAATTCAGGTAAATAAAATATCATTTAAAATATAGAAAATATAATGAGCTAGAGTTTAAATTTTCTCGTACATTTTTAGTTTGAAAAATTCACTTTTAAAGTTGATAAGAAAAAAAGTTTCTAGTTTGAAAAACTAAATTTCAAAATTAACATGAAAAACTTTAATAAATTCAGAAATGCATTATTTCCTCATTAGGATTGAAGTAAAAATCCTTTCCACTTCGGTATAAATTTTGGGTACGGTCCACGAGGAATTGCACCCAAAACTAGGGTTCGTGAAGGGACCATAGTGATTTTGTATCCAAAAGTTTAAGGCCCAAAATAAATTACATCCAAGTATTTGAAATTTTCTGTTTAAATAGTTTGATTCTACGGCCCACATATTATTTAAAGCCCATTTACGGCCCATTAGGCCCATTATCTTTGTGAAGGCTAATGTTTCATCTCGGTCAATGTTCCCAAGGTCGAAATCACAATAATTTTTTGTTTTGTTGCAATACAATGCTAATGAAGAAGCTCTTTAAAAAAATATTTGATCGGATTATATTTATTTTATGTTATGAGAGTGGGACACCAAACTGCCGACCCATTTTCTGTTTAATAATAAATATAATTAAATATTAGAATACCAACGTGATTATTTAAATAAATTAACACACTATAATTCTCTCTGGGTGGATCCCTAGAGCGCTTGAGCACTAACCCGACTAAAAAAATGACGTCATGGATATTGTAAGGATTAGCTCTTTGTGACGTAAGTAATTAGTACCATCACCAATCAGAAAATAATAGGGTTCTTTCCGGTTATTTTATTATTTATTTTTTAAAATACATTTATATAGTTTTGCATATTCATTCGAATTTTTTTTCTATGTCATCAACTTTGGATCCTTCATTTCTTCTGAAAAATAGTTATTCTGATTTAATATCTGATTTTAAACCAAATTTGATTCGGATTAAAAAATAAAGATTTTGAATTTTTTGTGTTTTAATTTATTTTTTATACTTGATTGAGATATAATTTTGATTTTAAAATTATATTTTAATGACCTTTTATTGATAAAAAAAAAATTAGATTACAAATAGAAAATAGGCCCGAGGATAAACACAACTTTTTTTTTCGAAAATCATGTGTGGGGAAACAATGCAGAGACAAATGTCTCTGACTAAAAATTAAATTGAATCATTTATTGCAATGGCAAAATCTTATTAATACTAACTGAAAATCTCATTAGTGGAATCTTTTTGATGCCTTGTTGAGAGAGAGAGAGAGAGAGAGAGAGAGAGAGAGAGAGACAAGTGGATGATGAGGTGGCGTTGTCTGACGAAGAACGCTGCGCATGGTCTGGCTCAGTGACACGTGTACGAAACCCAGAGACCCTCTTCTGTTCCTCATTATCTTGCAGCCATCGTCTTTTTTACCCTTTTTTAAACAAACAAATACAACAATACAAAACTGATATAATCACGTTATTTTCGTTCCCTCAATTATATATTTATTTATATATATGTTTTTACTCTTATAACATGTCATCCGACGTAATATTCCACTCCACGATCATTTTTCAGTTTATATAAATTAGGTTAATAGTATTGTAATGACGTATTTCGATATCATAAAGTTTGGTTTTAGTGCAAATAAATATTATAGACAAAAATAATACTATTGTACCCAATATTTAGCATATAAAATGATCATATCATACAGTTAGTTCGTATAAACATAGTATAAGCCTATAAAATGGCTATTATACATTGGAGAAATACAAATACGTTTTAACCAAATGCGATTCAAGTGATATGTAAGGGAAAATTAATGTGGAAGGTATATATAAAATTTTATATGGTTGAAAAATAATAGAGAAGAGAGAAGGAGAACGAAATGTGGGTCCACGAGGGGCATGGATTTTGGTTACAATGGTCATAAGAGTATGTATGCCCTTTGGATTGGAACTCTCAAATAAGACCTCCTCCTTTCTCTCTCTCTCTCTTTCTCACTCTATATATATAGGTGGTTGAGTATAGCTTTCATAGTACTGAGCATATACATATATATATAGAGAGAGAGAGAGAGGGAGAGGGAGAATGGGGAGGCAACCATGCTGTGACAAAGTGGGGTTGAAGAAAGGGCCATGGACTGTTGAAGAAGACAAGAAGCTCATCAACTTCATCCTCACTAACGGCCATTGTTGCTGGAGAGCTGTTCCTAAGCTTGCCGGTCTCTCTCTCTCTCTCTCTCTACACACAGTGTTCATTGTTTGGAAAATCTTTATGTTTTATTTGAAGAATCTTTATGTTTTATTTGGGAAATCTATGTCTAATATAAACAAAATTTGAGCGATGATGATATTAAGATAATCTGGAATCTACGGTAAAAACATATTCGATTTTTTTTGAACTTTTTATATATTTTTTTTTCTCCTCCAAAATTCGGATTCATTGGTCTCTCTCTCTCTAAAACTCCTCATATTTTTTTAACATATTTTTCCATATATTCTACGACCTTATTTTAACAACTATTTTTGTTTTTCAGAAAAGAAAAAGAGTTGCAGGGAAAATTCCGGTTATATTTCTTGGAATTCATGATCTCTCAGACACATATATACTATAATACTGTGCTTAACTATCAAACAAATATTTTAGTTCTACCTAATACGTATATATTATATATACACCCACACACACATATATACATATATATATTGGAATTTTAATAAGAATTAAGACTGCCATTGTTATAATTGTCAAGGGGAAATTTCTTCTCCCTTTATGCGGCTCGTGATTTGATTAATAAACTAATTTATCTTAATCTGCAGTAAAAATTGATGAGATTATAATAAACAAATGCAGGATTGTTAAGGTGCGGGAAAAGCTGCAGATTAAGATGGACGAATTATCTCAGACCGGATTTGAAGAGAGGACTTTTATCTGAGTACGAAGAACAAGTGGTCATCGACCTTCATGTCCAACTTGGCAACAGGTTCTTTTTCTATCCTTTCTCCTTTTATATGTACTTATATGTATATATATATATTTAAATGTTTATTCAACTTTATAACCATTTGTAAACAGTCCTTGGACTGACTATGAAAGATTTTACCAACTTCCAATAGGATTTGATTTTGTTTTTTTGTTTTAGGTACGAGGAATATATCATTGGACTACAATAGTTACCTACAACAACTTTGACATGTTAACTAACTGATGTATAATTAAATTGACTAGTCTCTCGTATTACTAGTATTATTCTTTTTTGTCACTATTCAATGATTTGGACCCTTATGGTTCAATTTACAAGTTTCTATATGATATATATATATATATATATATATATATTCGTTATCAAACCCCCCACTTGGACTAATTACGCACATTCAAAGTCTTCACACTCCAAGGTTATTTTATACGTATATTTACTGATCCGTTAACTGTTAATTAACTGTTTCTCAGATGGTCAAAGATTGCATCTCAATTACCAGGAAGAACGGATAATGAGATAAAGAACCATTGGAATACGCACATAAAGAAAAAGCTGAGGAAAATGGGGATTGATCCCGTGACCCACAAGCCTCTGTCTGAGGAAGAGGCTTCTCAGCCTCCCAAACACCAAAACCGCAAGAACACAGAAATGGAGAAACCCAAGAGCATCAAGAACGCGAAAGCGTGAGATTATTGATCAACCACCCGGATAAAGAAAGAGATTTGGATCAAATGGGCATCGGCCAGAATGCAGGAATCTGCGTTGACGAGGTTCCATTGATGAACCCGGATGAAATCTTGGCCATGCCTCCTGGCTGTATTAACAGTAACAGCTGCGGATTATCTTCTTCTTCGTCGTCTTCATCGTCCTGCGCTTCATCTGGCGACGGTACTTCGAAGTTTCCGGAAGAGATGGAGTTTCTGGATGATTTCAAGTGGCTTCTGTCTGACGGTGACATCGACAAGAACAAGAACGCTGTCGATACGATGAACTTCTTGTGGGACAATGACTTAGGCGACAGCTTGGATTTTCTTCTGAATGATGATTTTGTTGGGAGTGAGTGTCCAAAAACGGTTTTGGACACGTGGGCTCCTCTCGGTTCTCATCTTCTTTAATTTTATTTTTATTTATTTTTTTCTGTTCTTGAAGTGGGGTTTTAACTTGTAATTTGGTGTTGGTAATTAGAGGTGTAAATACAAGGAATAAAGTGTGCAATTGTGAACGTCGTTTTCCATTTTTTAAGACGACTTTGAATATGCACATTATATAATTTAAATTGGCTAATCGGATATATTTTGACTATTTTATAAGTATTTTTTAATCGAATTCATTACGATTATATATGTAAGCTTAAGACAATCATATCCACTCCGTCTTAATAATTATCGAAAAACTCATAGTGGATGATTAAAAAACGTTTGATTTGGACTCAAACTTAAAAAAAAAATACATTCAATCGAATTTTCCCGATCGGTTGAAAAATACGGTGAATTTTTTAATTATAAAAAATTATTATTACACACTCATCATTTAATTAATCTACGAATTAGAAATATATATACATATTTGTGTGTGAAAAATTATATTATTCATATATATATATATATATATATATATATTGTTAAATGCATATATTTTTATGAATATGTAATTAACTCATTTATGAAAAAACATAGTAGAAATTGAAGCAGAAAATCAACGCGTTTAGGTGGGACCAATAATTTATAGACCGATTTCATAAGTTGGAAATAACATAGTTTGTGGACATTTTTTCTTTCTCATTCTATCTTCTCTTTGCTTAAATCTCAACAATTGACTTGATTTAAAATGGAATATTGAGGACTCGATTCGAGTTTGATATTTTGTAAGTTTTTATATTTTATAATGATAAAATATCCAACTTTTATGCTAAATTTTAGTTTAAATTAGATTTTATCAGAATTCGATAATATTTTAAAATATTTATTTTATATCAATTTTTATTGGATTTAAATTATAAAAACAAAAATACCTAGTAAATTTTAAATAAAAATTATTTTGATCTTAGAAAAAGTAATCCTCTTTGAAAATATTACATATCACGGATCAAACCAAGATCCTTAATCAATTAATATTTTTAAGTTCTATTAATAACATTGAAAATGTCAAACAAAAAAATATATATATTTTTTTTATAATAGTGGAAACCTACTACACGGTCCTTCGGACCGGGCCCCGGCCCTCAAGCCGGACAGTCAGTATACCGACAGTAAACTCTCAATCCTGCGTAATAACCAGCAAACCATGCATAGAAGATAAACGAGCCGAATCTGATCGGTTCAAGGGGGAGTTCAACATCGGTGGGTTTCGGAAAAAAAAAATAAACAAGAAATATATAACTTAACAGGACAAATATTTCGGTAATTAACTACCTTATTGTGACTATTTATTATATGATATGTAAGTATGTAAAGATTATAACAATTTACGTGGGAGTTATTGTGTCAATTTTACATTATATATTTGTGTATATAATCTTTGACACGTGTTCGAAACCCAGAGACCCTCTTCTGTTCCTCATTATCTTGCAGCCATCGTCTTTTTTACCCTTTTTTAAACAAACAAATACAACAATACAAAACTGATATAATCACGTTATTTTCGTTCCCTCAATTATATATTTATTTATATATATGTTTTTACTCTTATAACATGTCATCCGACGTAATATTCCACTCCACGATCATTTTTCAGTTTATATAAATTAGGTTAATAGTATTGTAATGACGTATTTCGATATCATAAAGTTTGGTTTTAGTGCAAATAAATATTATAGACAAAAATAATACTATTGTACCCAATATTTAGCATATAAAATGATCATATCATACAGTTAGTTCGTATAAACATAGTATAAGCCTATAAAATGGCTATTATACATTGGAGAAATACAAATACGTTTTAACCAAATGCGATTCAAGTGATATGTAAGGGAAAATTAATGTGGAAGGTATATATAAAATTTTATATGGTTGAAAAATAATAGAGAAGATAGAAGGAGAACGAAATGTGGGTCCACGAGGGGCATGGATTTTGGTTACAATGGTCATAAGAGTATGTATGCCCTTTGGATTGGTACTCTCAAATAAGACCTCCTCCTTTCTCTCTCTCTCTCTTTCTCACTCTATATATATAGGTGGTTGAGTATAGCTTTCATAGTACTGAGCATATACATATATATATAGAGAGAGAGAGAGAGGGAGAGGGAGAATGGGGAGGCAACCATGCTGTGACAAAGTGGGGTTGAAGAAAGGGCCATGGACTGTTGAAGAAGACAAGAAGCTCATCAACTTCATCCTCACTAACGGCCATTGTTGCTGGAGAGCTGTTCCTAAGCTTGCCGGTCTCTCTCTCTCTCTCTCTCTACACACAGTGTTCATTGTTTGGAAAATCTTTATGTTTTATTTGAAGAATCTTTATGTTTTATTTGGGAAATCTATGTCTAATATAAACAAAATTTGAGCGATGATGATATTAAGATAATCTGGAATCTACGGTAAAAACATATTCGATTTTTTTTGAACTTTTTATATATTTTTTTTTCTCCTCCAAAATTCGGATTCATTGGTCTCTCTCTCTCTAAAACTCCTCATATTTTTTTAACATATTTTTCCATATATTCTACGACCTTATTTTAACAACTATTTTTGTTTTTCAGAAAAGAAAAAGAGTTGCAGGGAAAATTCCGGTTATATTTCTTGGAATTCATGATCTCTCAGACACATATATACTATAATACTGTGCTTAACTATCAAACAAATATTTTAGTTCTACCTAATACGTATATATTATATATACACCCACACACACATATATACATATATATATTGGAATTTTAATAAGAATTAAGACTGCCATTGTTATAATTGTCAAGGGGAAATTTCTTCTCCCTTTATGCGGCTCGTGATTTGATTAATAAACTAATTTATCTTAATCTGCAGTAAAAATTGATGAGATTATAATAAACAAATGCAGGATTGTTAAGGTGCGGGAAAAGCTGCAGATTAAGATGGACGAATTATCTCAGACCGGATTTGAAGAGAGGACTTTTATCTGAGTACGAAGAACAAGTGGTCATCGACCTTCATGTCCAACTTGGCAACAGGTTCTTTTTCTATCCTTTCTCCTTTTATATGTACTTATATGTATATATATATATTTAAATGTTTATTCAACTTTATAACCATTTGTAAACAGTCCTTGGACTGACTATGAAAGATTTTACCAACTTCCAATAGGATTTGATTTTGTTTTTTTGTTTTAGGTACGAGGAATATATCATTGGACTACAATAGTTACCTACAACAACTTTGACATGTTAACTAACTGATGTATAATTAAATTGACTAGTCTCTCGTATTACTAGTATTATTCTTTTTTGTCACTATTCAATGATTTGGACCCTTATGGTTCAATTTACAAGTTTATATATGATATATATATATATATATAAAGAAGGGTGTGTCGTTATCAAACCCCCCACTTGGACTAATTACGCACATACAAAGTCTTCACACTCCAAGGTTATTTTATACGTATATTTACTGATCCGTTAACTGTTAATTAACTGTTTCTCAGATGGTCAAAGATTGCATCTCAATTACCAGGAAGAACGGATAATGAGATAAAGAACCATTGGAATACGCACATAAAGAAAAAGCTGAGGAAAATGGGGATTGACCCCGTGACCCACAAGCCTCTGTCTGAGGAAGAGGCTTCTCAACCTCCGAAACCCCAACCGGGCAAGAAAAAGCCTCTCAAGAAACCTCAAGAACACAGAAATGGAGAAACCCAAGAGCATCAAGAACGCGAAAGCGTGAGATTATTGATCAACCACCCGGATAAAGAAAGAGATTTGGATCAAATGGGCATCGGCCAGAATGCAGGAATCTGCGTCGACGAGGTTCCATTGATGAACCCGGATGAAATCTTGGCCATGCCTCCTGGCTGTATTAACAGTAACAGCTGCGGATTATCTTCTTCTTCGTCGTCTTCATCGTCCTGCGCTTCATCTGGCGACGGTACTTCGAAGTTTCCGGAAGAGATGGAGTTTCTGGATGATTTCAAGTGGCTTCTGTCTGACGGTGACATCGACAAGAACAAGAACGCTGTCGATACGATGAACTTCTTGTGGGACAATGACTTAGGCGACAGCTTGGATTTTCTTCTGAATGATGATTTTGTTGGGAGTGAGTGTCCAAAAACGGTTTTGGACACGTGGGCTCCTCTCGGTTCTCATCTTCTTTAATTTTATTTTTATTTATTTTTTTCTGTTCTTGAAGTGGGGTTTTAACTTGTAATTTGGTGTTGGTAATTAGAGGTGTAAATACAAGGAATAAAGTGTGCAATTGTGAACGTCGTTTTCCATTTTTTAAGACGACTTTGAATATGCACATTATATAATTTAAATTGGCTAATCGGATATATTTTGACTATTTTATAAGTATTTTTTAATCGAATTCATTACGATTATATATGTAAGCTTAAGACAATCATATCCACCCAACTTGGCAACAGGTTCTTTTTCTATCCTTTCTCCTTTTATATATATGTGTGTGTATATATATATTTAAATGTTTATTCAACTTTATAACCATTTGTAAACAGTCCTTGGACTGACTATGAAAGATTTTACCAACTTCCAATAGGATTTGATTTTGTTTTTTTGTTTTAGGTACGAGGAATATATCATTGGACTACAATAGTTACCTACAACAACTTTGACATGTTAACTAACTGATGTATAATTAAATTGACTAGTCTCTCGTATTACTAGTATTATTCTTTTTTGTCACTATTCAATGATTTGGACCCTTATGGTTCAATTTACAAGTTTATATATGATATATATATATATATATATATATATATTCGTTATCAAACCCCCCACTTGGACTAATTACGCACATTCAAAGTCTTCACACTCCAAGGTTATTTTATACGTATATTTACTGATCCGTTAACTGTTAATTAACTGTTTCTCAGATGGTCAAAGATTGCATCTCAATTACCAGGAAGAACGGATAATGAGATAAAGAACCATTGGAATACGCACATAAAGAAAAAGCTGAGGAAAATGGGGATTGATCCCGTGACCCACAAGCCTCTGTCTGAGGAAGAGGCTTCTCAGCCTCCGAAACCCCAACACAGCAAGAAAAAGACTCTCAAGAAACCTCAAGAACGCAAAAATGGAGAAACCCAAGAGCATCAAGAACGCGAAAGCGTGAGATTATTGATCAACCACCCGGATAAAGAAAGAGATTTGGATCAAATGGGCATCGGCCAGAATGCAGGAATCTGCGTTGACGAGGTTCCATTGATGAACCCGGATGAAATCTTGGCCATGCCTCCTGGCTGTATTAACAGTAACAGCTGCGGATTATCTTCTTCTTCGTCGTCTTCATCGTCCTGCGCTTCATCTGGCGACGGTACTTCGAAGTTTCCGGAAGAGATGGAGTTTCTGGATGATTTCAAGTGGCTTCTGTCTGACGGTGACATCGACAAGAACAAGAACGCTGTCGATACGATGAACTTCTTGTGGGACAATGACTTAGGCGACAGCTTGGATTTTCTTCTGAATGATGATTTTGTTGGGAGTGAGTGTCCAAAAACGGTTTTGGACACGTGGGCTCCTCTCGGTTCTCATCTTCTTTAATTTTATTTTTATTTATTTTTTTCTGTTCTTGAAGTGGGGTTTTAACTTGTAATTTGGTGTTGGTAATTAGAGGTGTAAATACAAGGAATAAAGTGTGCAATTGTGAACGTCGTTTTCCATTTTTTAAGACGACTTTGAATATGCACATTATATAATTTAAATTGGCTAATCGGATATATTTTGACTATTTTATAAGTATTTTTTAATCGAATTCATTACGATTATATATGTAAGCTTAAGACAATCATATCCACTCCGTCTTAATAATTATCGAAAAACTCATAGTGGATGATTAAAAAACGTTTGATTTGGACTCAAACTTAAAAAAAAAATACATTCAATCGAATTTTCCCGATCGGTTGAAAAATACGGTGAATTTTTTAATTATAAAAAATTATTATTACACACTCATCATTTAATTAATCTACGAATTAGAAATATATATACATATTTGTGTGTGAAAAATTATATTATTCATATATATATATATATATATATATATATTGTTAAATGCATATATTTTTATGAATATGTAATTAACTCATTTATGAAAAAACATAGTAGAAATTGAAGCAGAAAATCAACGCGTTTAGGTGGGACCAATAATTTATAGACCGATTTCATAAGTTGGAAATAACATAGTTTGTGGACATTTTTTCTTTCTCATTCTATCTTCTCTTTGCTTAAATCTCAACAATTGACTTGATTTAAAATGGAATATTGAGGACTCGATTCGAGTTTGATATTTTGTAAGTTTTTATATTTTATAATGATAAAATATCCAACTTTTATGCTAAATTTTAGTTTAAATTAGATTTTATCAGAATTCGATAATATTTTAAAATATTTATTTTATATCAATTTTTATTGGATTTAAATTATAAAAACAAAAATACCTAGTAAATTTTAAATAAAAATTATTTTGATCTTAGAAAAAGTAATCCTCTTTGAAAATATTACATATCACGGATCAAACCAAGATCCTTAATCAATTAATATTTTTAAGTTCTATTAATAACATTGAAAATGTCAAACAAAAAAATATATATATTTTTTTTATAATAGTGGAAACCTACTACACGGTCCTTCGGACCGGGCCCCGGCCCTCAAGCCGGACAGTCAGTATACCGACAGTAAACTCTCAATCCTGCGTAATAACCAGCAAACCATGCATAGAAGATAAACGAGCCGAATCTGATCGGTTCAAGGGGGAGTTCAACATCGGTGGGTTTCGGAAAAAAAAAATAAACAAGAAATATATAACTTAACAGGACAAATATTTCGGTAATTAACTACCTTATTGTGACTATTTATTATATGATATGTAAGTATGTAAAGATTATAACAATTTACGTGGGAGTTATTGTGTCAATTTTACATTATATATTTGTGTATATAATCTTTGACACGTGTTCGAAACCCAGAGACCCTCTTCTGTTCCTCATTATCTTGCAGCCATCGTCTTTTTTTACCCTTTTTTAAACAAACAAATACAACAATACAAAACTGATATAATCACGTTATTTTCGTTCCCTCAATTATATATTTATTTATATATATGTTTTTACTCTTATAACATGTCATCCGACGTAATATTCCACTCCACGATCATTTTTCAGTTTATATAAATTAGGTTAATAGTATTGTAATGACGTATTTCGATATCATAAAGTTTGGTTTTAGTGCAAATAAATATTATAGACAAAAATAATACTATTGTACCCAATATTTAGCATATAAAATGATCATATCATACAGTTAGTTCGTATAAACATAGTATAAGCCTATAAAATGGCTATTATACATTGGAGAAATACAAATACGTTTTAACCAAATGCGATTCAAGTGATATGTAAGGGAAAATTAATGTGGAAGGTATATATAAAATTTTATATGGTTGAAAAATAATAGAGAAGATAGAAGGAGAACGAAATGTGGGTCCACGAGGGGCATGGATTTTGGTTACAATGGTCATAAGAGTATGTATGCCCTTTGGATTGGTACTCTCAAATAAGACCTCCTCCTTTCTCTCTCTCTCTCTTTCTCACTCTATATATATAGGTGGTTGAGTATAGCTTTCATAGTACTGAGCATATACATATATATATAGAGAGAGAGAGAGAGGGAGAGGGAGAATGGGGAGGCAACCATGCTGTGACAAAGTGGGGTTGAAGAAAGGGCCATGGACTGTTGAAGAAGACAAGAAGCTCATCAACTTCATCCTCACTAACGGCCATTGTTGCTGGAGAGCTGTTCCTAAGCTTGCCGGTCTCTCTCTCTCTCTCTCTCTACACACAGTGTTCATTGTTTGGAAAATCTTTATGTTTTATTTGAAGAATCTTTATGTTTTATTTGGGAAATCTATGTCTAATATAAACAAAATTTGAGCGATGATGATATTAAGATAATCTGGAATCTACGGTAAAAACATATTCGATTTTTTTTGAACTTTTTATATATTTTTTTTTCTCCTCCAAAATTCGGATTCATTGGTCTCTCTCTCTCTAAAACTCCTCATATTTTTTTAACATATTTTTCCATATATTCTACGACCTTATTTTAACAACTATTTTTGTTTTTCAGAAAAGAAAAAGAGTTGCAGGGAAAATTCCGGTTATATTTCTTGGAATTCATGATCTCTCAGACACATATATACTATAATACTGTGCTTAACTATCAAACAAATATTTTAGTTCTACCTAATACGTATATATTATATATACACCCACACACACATATATACATATATATATTGGAATTTTAATAAGAATTAAGACTCCCATTGTTATAATTGTCAAGGGGAAATTTCTTCTCCCTTTATGCGGCTCGTGATTTGATTAATAAACTAATTTATCTTAATCTGCAGTAAAAATTGATGAGATTATAATAAACAAATGCAGGATTGTTAAGGTGCGGGAAAAGCTGCAGATTAAGATGGACGAATTATCTCAGACCGGATTTGAAGAGAGGACTTTTATCTGAGTACGAAGAACAAGTGGTCATCGACCTTCATGTCCAACTTGGCAACAGGTTCTTTTTCTATCCTTTCTCCTTTTATATGTACTTATATGTATATATATATATTTAAATGTTTATTCAACTTTATAACCATTTGTAAACAGTCCTTGGACTGACTATGAAAGATTTTACCAACTTCCAATAGGATTTGATTTTGTTTTTTTGTTTTAGGTACGAGGAATATATCATTGGACTACAATAGTTACCTACAACAACTTTGACATGTTAACTAACTGATGTATAATTAAATTGACTAGTCTCTCGTATTACTAGTATTATTCTTTTTTGTCACTATTCAATGATTTGGACCCTTATGGTTCAATTTACAAGTTTATATATGATATATATATATATATATAAAGAAGGGTGTGTCGTTATCAAACCCCCCACTTGGACTAATTACGCACATACAAAGTCTTCACACTCCAAGGTTATTTTATACGTATATTTACTGATCCGTTAACTGTTAATTAACTGTTTCTCAGATGGTCAAAGATTGCATCTCAATTACCAGGAAGAACGGATAATGAGATAAAGAACCATTGGAATACGCACATAAAGAAAAAGCTGAGGAAAATGGGGATTGATCCCGTGACCCACAAGCCTCTGTCTGAGGAAGAGGCTTCTCAACCTCCGAAACCCCAACCGGGCAAGAAAAAGCCTCTCAAGAAACCTCAAGAACACAGAAATGGAGAAACCCAAGAGCATCAAGAACGCGAAAGCGTGAGATTATTGATCAACCACCCGGATAAAGAAAGAGATTTGGATCAAATGGGCATCGGCCAGAATGCAGGAATCTGCGTTGACGAGGTTCCATTGATGAACCCGGATGAAATCTTGGCCATGCCTCCTGGCTGTATTAACAGTAACAGCTGCGGATTATCTTCTTCTTCGTCGTCTTCATCGTCCTGCGCTTCATCTGGCGACGGTACTTCGAAGTTTCCGGAAGAGATGGAGTTTCTGGATGATTTCAAGTGGCTTCTGTCTGACGGTGACATCGACAAGAACAAGAACGCTGTCGATACGATGAACTTCTTGTGGGACAATGACTTAGGCGACAGCTTGGATTTTCTTCTGAATGATGATTTTGTTGGGAGTGAGTGTCCAAAAACGGTTTTGGACACGTGGGCTCCTCTCGGTTCTCATCTTCTTTAATTTTATTTTTATTTATTTTTTTCTGTTCTTGAAGTGGGGTTTTAACTTGTAATTTGGTGTTGGTAATTAGAGGTGTAAATACAAGGAATAAAGTGTGCAATTGTGAACGTCGTTTTCCATTTTTTAAGACGACTTTGAATATGCACATTATATAATTTAAATTGGCTAATCGGATATATTTTGACTATTTTATAAGTATTTTTTAATCGAATTCATTACGATTATATATGTAAGCTTAAGACAATCATATCCACTCCGTCTTAATAATTATCGAAAAACTCATAGTGGATGATTAAAAAACGTTTGATTTGGACTCAAACTTAAAAAAAAAATACATTCAATCGAATTTTCCCGATCGGTTGAAAAATACGGTGAATTTTTTAATTATAAAAAATTATTATTACACACTCATCATTTAATTAATCTACGAATTAGAAATATATATACATATTTGTGTGTGAAAAATTATATTATTCATATATATATATATATATATATATATATTGTTAAATGCATATATTTTTATGAATATGTAATTAACTCATTTATGAAAAAACATAGTAGAAATTGAAGCAGAAAATCAACGCGTTTAGGTGGGACCAATAATTTATAGACCGATTTCATAAGTTGGAAATAACATAGTTTGTGGACATTTTTTCTTTCTCATTCTATCTTCTCTTTGCTTAAATCTCAACAATTGACTTGATTTAAAATGGAATATTGAGGACTCGATTCGAGTTTGATATTTTGTAAGTTTTTATATTTTATAATGATAAAATATCCAACTTTTATGCTAAATTTTAGTTTAAATTAGATTTTATCAGAATTCGATAATATTTTAAAATATTTATTTTATATCAATTTTTATTGGATTTAAATTATAAAAACAAAAATACCTAGTAAATTTTAAATAAAAATTATTTTGATCTTAGAAAAAGTAATCCTCTTTGAAAATATTACATATCACGGATCAAACCAAGATCCTTAATCAATTAATATTTTTAAGTTCTATTAATAACATTGAAAATGTCAAACAAAAAAATATATATATTTTTTTTATAATAGTGGAAACCTACTACACGGTCCTTCGGACCGGGCCCCGGCCCTCAAGCCGGACAGTCAGTATACCGACAGTAAACTCTCAATCCTGCGTAATAACCAGCAAACCATGCATAGAAGATAAACGAGCCGAATCTGATCGGTTCAAGGGGGAGTTCAACATCGGTGGGTTTCGGAAAAAAAAAATAAACAAGAAATATATAACTTAACAGGACAAATATTTCGGTAATTAACTACCTTATTGTGACTATTTATTATATGATATGTAAGTATGTAAAGATTATAACAATTTACGTGGGAGTTATTGTGTCAATTTTACATTATATATTTGTGTATATAATCTTTGACCTTTTTTATGTTTGGTATATCTGATATTCGAATTTATTATTATACCAGACTCGTGGCAATTTCATAATATTTTTAGAATATTCAATTATTATTTTCGCATTTGAGAAAGTATATTCGTTATATATATGTATATTCTTTTGTTTTCTATCTGATATTATGCTAGTTAACAAAAAAAGATATCATGCTATATTAAAATTAGTGTAAAGGCTTAGAATCCAATTAAAATTAAGTTAAATATTTGTATTGCGCAGTCATCCGTGAAAGGATTATAAAGATGATTATTTTGTCGAGAGGAATTATGTTAATCAAACTAGAGATATCATTTTTTTTTTCTTTTCATATTTGCGTAATTAAGTAGAGTAGTGAAAATAATAATATAGATTTTTGAAATTTATAGATATAAATGACGCAACGATGGCGTCATCGTGACGATATCTGAGGGCCCAAGACTTCCACCAAAACACATCACTATCTTCATGGAAACGATCACTGAATCTTTTGCGTAATAATTAAATCCCACCAACCAAATGTTTTCAATCTTTCATATTCAAAGTTGGTGGTGGTCCTCTTGATATATCCTTCTTAATATTTATTTTTCCTATTATGTATATATATATTTAAAATTAATTAATCAAGTATGCATGATTTTTTTTATTGATAACTGAGAGGTTCACCTGGACCTTCGGTCCAACCTATATCTTTTTAGGTCTGGGAATAGCATTTAGAGTGACAAACGACAGGACCCAGAGAGCAACACCCTCTCAACAGTAAATACCCTATCCCTCTCCAGTAGCTGAAATCGAACGGTCGACCAGACACCCAGAGAACAATACCCTAGACAAGAGAGGATCACTCGCCCACTAGTTACAGGATAAGCATGCATGGTTGAACAAGCAACCATTATATATGGATTTGATCACGTAAACTTGCAATGATAAGAGGGTTTATAATATAGAGAATGAGGTATTCCTCTCCTATAAATATTTATACAATTATGATAAGTTTTACTATGAATATTAATTTAAACAAATTTATACTTCTCCTTTCAGAAGAATATATATGCATTATTCATGACGGAGTTTACGTAATTTCCCTCGTAATAAATTCAATATTATATGCTAATAATATGAAACTCCCATACGAGTGTGTATATATATATAAAATCAACATGAGCTTGTAATTAAACTATAATTTGACAGAAAATGGTGTATAATGCCACACTGAATTGCGGTTGGTCCACCGATTGGAACAGATTCACTCGCTAATTACAAAAGTTTTAGATAATATAATTTCTCATTTCTCTAATATGGCTCGTAAAAACAATTCGTAAATGCATGCAGAGAGATACCACGTCGCCATTTAACCATGATTACGTAACCATCTTTGTTTGTGAAGTGCGGTTTTAGACTATTGATTAGGTAGAGAGATTAAATGTAAGCAACAAACATGATTGTGAAAGAGTAAAGAACGAATTAATAAATTGAAACTTTAGAAAAGTGTTATAATTAATTATCATTTCAACATTAGCTTTACAAAAGCTTATTACCAATTAATTAGTTGCAGTTTGCACAGGAAGGGTAGCAAAAAAAAAAAATCGTATGTAATGGTGCTTATGTCACACACACAATATATATATATATATATATATATATATATATATAT